ATACACCCATCCATCCACCCATCCATATATCTGTTTGTCTGTCTGTAGATCTATATTTTAACGTAGTATTGTAGTTGATTGTCATGTAAATTAACTGATTGTCATATATTTATTCCTGCCAGTACACAGTATCCGCAACCGCACACGAACGAATAGTTCGCATTCTAGTGCCTCGAGTTAAACTCTATGAACCCTCCATATCTTATAACGCACAGGCGAGCCTTATATCCAAATGCAAGACTTACTGTACGGGTTCAATGGCCCATGCGTTATGGACTGCAAAATAGGGTACAGAACGTTCCTCGAGAGCGAGGTATGCGTCAGATGATTCGTATTATATTCGTTAACTGTTGTATATGGCATAGGTAAGTGTGTGCAGTTGGGCGTGGTTTAAGACAATTGTCATCAAACTTTCGCCTGAGTGTGCCATGGATAGAGAGACACCCCGTCTTATCGCGCTGACCTGAATTAACGCTCTTTCTAAGAAGATATATATAAACGTTTGCACACTTCAATGGATACGCACAGTACAATTGCTGACTTGAGTTAACCCACATTTTAAGAAGATATATATAAACGTTTGCACAATTCAATCTATACGCAAAGTACAATTGTTGACTTGAGTTAACGCTCTGTGTAAGAAGATATATAGACGTTTGTACACTTCAATCGATACGCACAGTACAATTGCTGACTTAAGTTAACGTTCTGTCTAAGAAGATATATATACGTTTGTACACTTCAATCTATATGCACAGTACAGTTGCACTCACAATGCACAGTTAAAGTTGTGCTCTCAAATATAGTACACCTGTGGTCTGGTACACGATTACACTGATCGCTTCGCCGATATACACACGTGTGTGCAAAGGCTGATATAAGGAAGAAGGCTCTTCTTTAGTTTAAGAACACTCGTCCGTATGTCCTTCTACCTGTCGTTGAGGATCTCGGATACTATTGCCCCTATAATTTGTGTGCCTGCAGTCTTTGCGTGCCACCCCTGTTGTATCGTCGCCACTGTATCATAGAATATGGACATGAGGTACACAACGTGACTCCATCTTTGCATTAGGACTGTGGGTGAGATTCGTAAGCATTCGCAGCTTATGAGGGAGATTGTGTATTCGTATAGCGTATCTGGCGAATGGATCGTTAACGGGTAGTAGGGTTTAGCTTCAGTCTGTAGGTAGGTGCGATATCATTGTAGGGCCGTATGCTGATGCCCAGAGACTTGTCACATGCAACAAGCTGGTGTCACCTAACAGACGAACGTATTACGCTGAATTAATACGTTATTTATACAGTGGACCTAGGGCTGTATGGGGATCACGACAACGCCTTCGAACACTTGGTATTGTAGGTAGTTACTTTGTTGGTGTGGATTAAAGTGTCCCAGAGACACCCGTGCCATTCTTTTACGAATGCACACGAACGTTGCCTCAACTTGTCAGCCCAATTGATACACTAGACCCGGAATTGATATATAATCCATGACCCTGTGACAGGTCCAGAATGAAGAGTTGAGACCGGATTTGCTAGGCAAGATGCGCAAGCTATCACCGGGAGATATAACCGCCGAGGAAGAGAAGGCAGGAGGGGTGACCAAACTGAGGTATATGCAGTTCCGAGAGAATCTAAGTTCCACCAGCAAATTGGGGTTCAGGATCGAGGGTATTAAGGTGTGTGTGTGCGTGTAATAACTTGTGGCTAGAAAGAGGTTTTGGTTGCGACCTATGAAGTTTTTATATGTTTGGTATCAGAAGGGGATCTTGAATACATACATATAGCGATCAGATTCTGGATCGAGGGTACCAAGGTGTGCGCGTACTAGTCGATGGTTCGTATTTATGAATTAAGATAAATGTTCTTCTCCAAAAATGAGCCTTTATAATTTCACATAGCGATTAGTATTGAAGATCTGTATATATTCATAGCAAGTATACTTGTATCTAGATACAATCTTCATGATTGCATATAGTGATAGAGGTTCAGGTTGGAGGGTGTCACGGTGTGTGTAAGTGTACATATTGTTACGGTTGGGCCACATACATACCATAGCTACGTATCACCTATTGAAGGTTGAGCTTGTGTGGTGTATTATATAGCTAC